CTTAACCATGTCTGGACCTAACTGGCCCTAAATCCAGAAATTGGTCCATTAGGTTAATGATAAATAAAGACAGACCATGTTTACATGAATGCAGAAGCTGTATTTGATCTTTACCTGGTGCTGACCCTTGATTAGAGAGATATAGAGTGAGTAATAATAATATGGGAACATCAGTTTGACAACAAATGAGCAATTATATAAAATATTAATTATATTGTCTTTAAAATAGGCTGATAACACAGTATAATGTCAGCTCTGGTTCATTATAAATGTGTGGCTTCTCAACTGTAGAGAAGTAGACAATTTGTTGTTTGTGATAAAAAATCTGCAGCTTTGTATAGTTTCATTTGTTCTTTTGGGGTGGAGAGAAAATGTAAATATAAAAGAGTATCAGCAGCCAAGCAGTTGCAATTTGTTGTAACTCTATCTACTGGCCAGTAGAGGTCCCTGTATGTTAAATATTTGCTTGATGAAACTCTGCACACCTACTTTGAAAATATATATAACTATAAACCGTTTTTATTCCCTAAGATTCTAAATAAAAGAGTCTTAATGATTTTTATAAAGGAATATCCACTTGTATCTGTTATTATCTTGTTTTTTTTCAAAAGCCTCTCCGTAGTCTGTAAGCTATTTCCAACACAAACACCAAGGACAAGACTACAAGGATAGAGGGCAGAGAAATAGGTCACTTGTGCTTTATTACATACATTACATGTTATACTTGTTAGACGCTTTTATCCAAAGCGACTTACATACTCAATACTGTGGACAATCCCCACAGGAGCCATTTTGGGCGAAGTGTCTTGGCCAGGGACACTACGACATGCTGACTGCAGTGGGGTTTGAACCTGTGACCCCCTGATCCGAACACTAATGCATTTGTCCACTGCGCCACAGGCCTACATAAGATGATTATTTTATGACTTTATTGTAGTGTTGAGAGTGCAGGTAATGAAGTGAGAAGGACTACATGAAAGTTGAACAACAATGTGAGGGTTGATTACCAAAGTGTATACAAACCTGGGTTGTTACACTACCATCGTATTTGCCTTGATGATTTATACGATCCATTTTCACTTACTACTAACTAAGGAAGTGCTGAACCGCTGAACAACACAAAACATGAGGGCTTTTTGCAACCTTGGTTTAATCCAATTCAATCCATCTGTGATGTTTACTGGCGCATTTTTCATGTTAACAATTGAACACTTTTGGTAAATATCCACTATTTGCCTGACAACGATAAGCCTTTAAAGGGTCATGGCTAGATGGTCACCATGGATTTGGGAAACATTCATCAAATGGTCAAACGAGCTAAACGATACCCCTAGATCTAGGTTGAGGGTTTGCACTGATAATGAGTGGTATAAGGTTAGAAAAGGTTGTCTGCTAAATGGTAACTCTTGATCTAGCAAGTTTTGGCTAGACATTGACCTCAAATGGTTACATTTAGGACAGGTCATCACACACAAGCCGTGCAAAAGTTTAACGACAGTTTTCAAAATTCTATGAATAGCATCATGATTTTGCTGGAGTCAAGAGGTAACCGGTCTATAAAGATGGACGCCAACCCTGTGCCAGGTTCTGTTAGAGGTTTTTATCCGTTAAAGGGGAGTTTTCTTTGCTACTGGCGTTAATGGAGGAATTCTATGAAAATCATACGATACAGTCAATTATGACTTGGGGTCCGATTAGCAACGTTGACCAGAATGGAAGTCTGAGTTGGAACAAAGACTATGACCTCATTGTGTCACAAGTAGCAAGTTCACAAGCTAATTTTAAAGGTGGGGTAGGTAAGAATGGAGAAACCAGCTGGAGTGCGCTAGAATTTGAAAATACACAGCCGGAACAAATCTGCCACTTCCTTACAGAGCCCCTCCTCCAACACACACGAACGCGCACATGACCAATGAGGGCACGAGATAAGTTTGTGCACAGATGGAAGGCTGACAGGCAGGTAGGCCATCCAGTTATTTTAGCCGGGCCGGCTAAAATGATTGGTCGTGCTTTTTACAGCACCATGGCTTCCACAGATGAATTCTTTTTATGGATTTGTTGTCAAAGCACTTCAGATATTCATTGCTATCGGGATGTTAAGAGCATTCCATGGAATATAACAAAAAGTGTATCTCGAGCCGGTTTCTCAAACTTACCTACCCCACCTTTAAGCGAATAAAAAGCGTGGACGATAGCTGATGGGTTCCCAGTTTGAATTTGGATAATGTGTTATTTGTTTGCTCCACACAGACTGTTTACATGTTTGGCAAAAGCCTGCTTCAACATGATTGGTCAATACTACTCAGATAAAGAACATTCCAATTCCAAAATCTTATACCGTTACCTACAAGTTCTGCATTCATATTTTAACATCTATTTATAGAGGTTGGTGGTTTACTTTGTTGTATGTGGATCACGTCCTCCATATTCTCCATGCAGCCCAGACACTATCTGACCATACAATATCATTTATGATGTAACAGCTGTTGTTCTTTAACATTTGGTGTGGTGGGAGATTAGTGTCGGATGTAGGCTTACCTCTAGCCTGCCCTTTAATGCTATCAGCCACTGCCATCACGGCTAAACCTCTTGAATAATTAGGACATGGTTGTATTTAACTCAAGCCATACAAGTGCACACGTATTTGATCTGCACACTATCTGCAACAATGCAAATAAAACATCAGTAAACCATTTTGTACATGCATATCTAATCACTTCTGTATTTGTCTCAATGTACGAACCACTTACTGTAAATGGGTTTGAGTTTTTCACTTCAATTCAGTTTTTTGTTTTTGTTTTGGGCAGCTATTATTACTTCATGGGATACTTGCACAGCAACTTTCTTAATTGACTCTTGTTTAAAGTTTTATTACAGCAGTGGTCTTGGGTTTCGGGTGTGTAAGTCACATGTAGGATCAGTGCTTGTTTTCAAAGCACAGAGATCACGATCATATTTCAACGGCAGCATTGATTACCTGTGGCCTAAATTGGATCACACTGTCTCCAATTACACCAAGGTATTTTGAGGCTTGGTATCTTGAGGTCACCCACTTTTGAGGGTAGAAGACACCAAGGGCACTTCACTCTCTAGGATTCTGAACCGCTTAAAGAAAGAGAGGGCTGTGTTTGATGTCACTTATTGCTCTCCATGATTTAAGAAGGAAAATGTACACATAAAGGATGCTTTGCTGGTAATTTCAGCGAGGAGGCAACACTTTTTTCAACAGAAAGCCTGAGTTTTACTCCTGGAGGTGTGGAGTCTGTATAGGGCACTTGTAGGCAAATACAAATGGAGTTGGTTGTAACACGGGAAATGTAGGATTTGGCATGTCTAAAGATGTCACCCTAGGAGATGTCTCGGCCTCTGATAGTTTATGAAAATGAAAAAAAAGTTTCTCCTGTGACTCTTCCAACTTCATGAAGGGGCAGTTCTTAACATCTGGATTGTCTCTTTAATTAATGAAACTTAATGTTACTGTCTGTCAAAGCTCAACTTCATTTTTGGTCAAAATGCTCAAGTATGACACAATTTCCCCCTTATGATGATCATTTAATATAATACAAATGAAAATAATATGAATTAAAATGGAAATACAATTTTGGAATGGACTTAAACAAAAGCATGCCATAATCTTTAGAAACACACTTTATAAAAAAAGATTAAATAGGATACATAAAATGCATAACACAATATGGAAAACTAAAACTGAATGAATAATAATTATAATAATCCAACATAACACTGGAAACGTGATATGTTTTCAAGATAAAACTACTTAAAAACTGTGCATCACTTCACCATGGCACATTCTCTGAAATAACACAATGACTTAAGGGGTAAAAGTACTCCATTACAAGTACAAGGCCTGCATTCAAATTTTATTTAAGTAAAAGTGAAGCATTATCAGCAAAATGCACTGAAAGTAAAAGTAGCAATTATGCAGAAAAATGTCCATATGTGATTTACTATTATTTATTGACATAGGACATCAGGCCCGGACCGGCCTGTTAAGTGGCCTGCTGGTCTGAGGATGTTTTGTTTGTTTGTGAACGCAACGCTGCGCAAATGCAAACCTGGAAACACTCTCCTCAAGCTGAAATGACAATATAATCCCCTCCAATAAAACCTGGTCTCCTTTCCTGAACTACATTAAGAGCTTATTCTTCTTCACACCAGCCAACCAGACACTCCCCACTCCAATGGATCAACTCAGAGTAAGAATATAGCTCTGTTTTCATTTCCTTTCATTTTGTTGTCTTTTTATATTTATGTATATATATTTGATTTCTTTATTGTCATTATCAACATTTATTTGACACTTGTAGTTACTTTTTAAACAAATACATGTAATAATACAACACATGTATAAGAGGCATTCTACACAATACGTACTTTTTTACTTTAGACCAGGGGTGTCCAAACTACGGCCCTATAAGCCCACTTTCAGTCAATTCAAGTTGAAAATATGTTCTTCTAACAAATCTAAGTTAATAAGAAAAAAGCCCAATAACTTATTTACATAACAACCTTGAAATATACCCTTCCTATTTCCTCTCATGATAAGCAATCTAAGGCTTCTGTTTTAAGGAATGAGCTGCAAACAAAATGAATGAAACCCTAGAGCTGTCATGGCTGTTGTTGTGTCAAGCATAATTTACTTACATTTGATTGATTTTGCTAACTTATAACTTCACTTATGAGGCAATAAACCTGGCCTCTAGTGAGTGGCCCAGCCCTTCGAATATTTTTATGTGGCCCCCCTCAGTGAAAAAAGTGTGGACACCCGTGCTTTTACTAGTACTTTTAGCTAATAATACTTCTGTACATTTACTTGAGTAACATTTTTGATTGCAGGGATTTTACTTGTTACAGAATATTCCTAACTCTGGTACTTCTTCTTTCACTTAAGAACAAGATCTGAGTACTTGTTCCTCCTCTGCGTGCTTCTCCTGAGGATGTGTGGTCGGCAGATAACTCCCCTGAGTTAAAGTGGGCGGAGCCAGGGCAGCACAGGCATGAGTGAGAGAGAGGAGGGGAGAGCCAGAGATACTCTCCCTCTGTGCCCCGACACTTCATCCATGTACGCCTGATATAACACTGGACTACTTAGTGTTTTGCTCTTACGATGTCTGCCAGTGTCGGTCTGTGAGGAGGACTTGTCTCACGGTTATCCTGTTAGCTGCTTACTCCGGCTACATGGCCAGCTAGCACAACAAAGCTAACTGCTGTTAGCTTCTGGCTTCATCTCACCCGTAGCCGGTGAAGTGAAGAGTCGAGAAGGGGAATGGCAAGAGTTTGCTCGGGTAGCCCTTCCAGAAGAAACAACGACTAACCAGAATCAACCAACCTCTATTTATCTACTTATTTGAATCACCGGTAAGCACCAGTTATATTATTTATGTCAGGTTAGCAGCTTATTGTATAAATTGACGCTAGTTTGCCGGCAAAGTCTCAATTAGCACACATTGTTATTATGTGTAAGCTAACGTTAACAAGTCGGCGTGGCAAATGTCGTTATCCCCTGTCATAGTCGTTGAAATAATAACACGTCTTATTTAGTTTAATTGTTAGCCATAAAATGTAAAGATTTCAACATGTTATTTGTACGGGTGTGTTTTAGTTTGAACTGTTCAACGTTACAGCCGGTTCCAGTTGACAGTTGGTGTCACTTAAAGTCCCTAGAACCAGAGTGGAAGAAGTACTCAGATTACTTACTTAAGTAAAAGTAGCAATACTACAATGTTCAAACTCTGTTACACGTTAAAGTACTGTATTCAAAATTGTACTAAAGTAAAAAAGCATTAGCCTTTAAAAATACAAAAGTATTTGTATTTGTCCAAAGTAAAAACACTCGTTACTCAAAATGGCCATTTTAAGCACCAGATGTTTAAAAAATGTGTTTAATTATTGATGGATTAATGTGTTCATCACGTTAATGTTGTACTTGGTATGAATTGAGTTTATATTCATTACTTTACTTATTAATGGGTAGCTCAACCTGTACAATACATTATAATTTGACATTTTGTGTCGATTTCTATATAAAGTAACTCCAAATAAATCTGCAAAGTAACTAAATATATAACAAATGTAATGGATTACAAAGTAGAGTATTTCCTTACAAAACGTAATGTGAACATTACGTAATAATTCAAGTAAATAACAAGCACCTCAATTAAATTACAGTACTTGAGTAAATGTAATTAGTTACACTACGCCACTGCCTAGATCGCATAATAAAGTAATTATCTTGTTTTGACGTGTCTTTGAAGTTGCTGACAGATCCTGAAGCATGACGGTAAATATGTATTGCAGTTAGTTGGATATAGAGTAATACTGTGGTTTGTTTTTATTCTGTTTGTCCTAGCCCGGTTGTTATTAGTCTTCCTGCCCAGGGGCCTCATTTATAACGCCTTGCGTAGGATTCACGTGGGAAGGTTGCGTACCTAGTACAAAGCAACAAAATAGGTAACAGGGTGTTTCTCAATCGCGAGGATGTCACTTCCTTCAGAAACGAAGCAAGTATGCTTCCAAGCCACAGCTTCGGAAAACGAAGAAGAATGGAACAGGCTAACAAGTGTGCCACTCTCTCTAACGGTTTCAACATAAACTACCGAAAATAAATACCTCGCAATGTTTATCTAATTATGAACTTGCTTTACTTTCACGGAACACATTTATGGTGGTAACAAATTTACCAACACATGTTCTACGCCACTACATACTTACATTTCAATGTGTGCTGCGTCGGTTCAGCCATTCTCCACAAGGGTTTTTGAAATTGGTCCGTGCTCAAAGCATTGTGGGGATTTTAAGGACGCGAAGTCTACCCATGTGCAGCCTCGACATTTCCCCCAAAACAAGGACGCGGCCTCGGTGGAATTCCAAGTATACTGGAGATTGGAACAGTCCTTCGGCGGCACTCGATGACGTAGCATCCTTGAAATATTGGCTTGGAAGCCAGTATCCTCGAGATTGAGAAACGGCCAGTGTCAGATTTTGGTTATTTTTGGGGAGGTGGAGATAAATCATATTGTTTGGTGGATGCAGTTTGAACCAGAGTAGCAGCATGGAGGTCGGATCGTCACCAAAATAAATAAATAAGTGGTCCGAAAAAGGTTCATGACAAAAAAAATACACATAGCCTTCCTCAGGCAGTGTGTTTGTACCGGGGACTGGAGACCCCCCCTTGATGAGAGACTGTAAGAAGTGATCGGGGAATCCCTCCGGAGTGGAGTCATGACGTCTGGATCTGAATTATGTTTTGTATTTGGTGGTTTGTGTCCCAGCTTTCGATCAGCAACTATATATCCATAATCCACCAGTTAAAGGAAATACAACTAATGTGTTGTGTTATATTAGCTGTACAATTTACCACATGGTGTTCTTAGTTTCCATGCCTCCTGTGTTTTACGAGCGACTTATCAAGTAGGCGGCGAACGGCATAAAACATGATTAAACGTGATAGTATATAAAACCATGCTCGTATCAACAACCTATAGAAATGCAACACGGCGTCAGTTTAGACGTAACTCTGTCCTCCTGCTTACCGCATCATTTATGAGAAAACATTTCATAACATTAACACAACATATTCGAGGTGGTTTTCAATAACATATCCGTATTTATTTATTTCTCCAAGTTATGTTTTTGTGTGCACTGAGGAGTCGCAAACAGGCGTTTGTTTAATCATTTTAAGATTGGCTTTAATCAATGTTTGAAAATGAATTCTTCATATATGATAAATGAGAGGTAACATTTTATTTATGGTATTATTTCCACATATTTCTCTCCATTCTTCCTTCTGCCAACGGTGTCGCAGTTTCTCGTCTCTCCCGTTTTTGTGCTTAGTGCGTACGCATGGGTTAGAGTTTGCGTGGAGGACCGCACGTTTTCCCGTCAAGTTAGTATTTTATAAATCACAAACTTTGCGTAGAAACTGGCGTACGCCATTTTTTTTTTTAGCGTATATCCCTTTATAAATGAGGCCTCTGATCCTTCTGTAAGTAGTGCTGGGACTTTAGCTCACCCCCTACTAGCAACCATGTTCCTATCACTGCATTGCAGGAGTTACAGACATGTATCCGCATGCCGAACAAACAAACATGAAATTCAAGCCCACTTCTGGAAATATTCAAGGAGTGAGAATAATCTTTGTTTCATCACCACTTTGTGTTATTCAATAAAACACGCGTCTTAACTTATGTGCAGGTGACTAGTATTCCCTTAATTCACACGTTTCATCTTTAGCCTCTGCTCCAGAATCTGCCGTCTACATTACAAAGATTAAGCACCACCTTTTTTAGTTATCATAACGTAGAGTGTTTTTGTGTGTAGCTGCGACCTGAGGTTCTGCAGAGACAGTAGATGGACTAAGCTTAGTATGTTCCCATTAGTGTGCATTGACAAGCCTTTGCAGTGGCCTCTGTTTGATGAGTGGGGGGGGGGGGGGCTGCTGCATCCATTGATCAGTGACAGTCCCCTTCTGCCGCCCATCACTGTACATCGTTTTCTAGTTCTTCGGGCTGCCTGCCAGAACACAAACGCACACACAAGCACCTGGCATCATTCAAGCAGCCAGCCAAAATGCACATTAACTTAATTACACACTAAGTTTACTGTTCTAGGGCCAGATGCTGTCATATCGCACTCAGCGCACTTATTGTGATGATGCCAGAGTGAGTGAAAGGCAGCCTTTGATGTGATCATTGCTCGTACTTTCTTCTCTGATTTCTTCCTTTACCTGTTCAGGTTGTCGGTGTCACTGTAATCCCCACCATGGTGCAGAAGTACCAGTCGCCAGTGCGGGTGTACAAGTACCCCTTTGAGCTGGTGATGGCGGTAAGTGTCTTCACCTGTATTTACAGTCAACTCCGTCCAAATGAATATTGCATGTGGAGGATTCAGAGTTATGTAATGCTGGTGTGTGTGTGGGCGCTTCAGAGGTCACCCCTGGAAGGTAGTCATCTGAATCACACACCGTGCATTTGATTCTCATAGTCAGACTTATTGTTTCCACATCACTATTCTAATGTCCACAACGAGTTCAAGTCTTGGCTACTAGCTGTACTGTCAATGTTGTGTTAGTGATCTGCATCACCTGCGGCAGCACTACCAGAGCAGCTCCTGATAACAGTGACATTATAAGCCTACGGAAATATTGAAGGTTCATAGATTTTTTAAATAAACCTTGTACAGACTGCATTTACATGTTATGATGCATTCCTCATAATGAACACATCTTAAAATCAGAATAAGAATTCACAGTAAATATTAAAAAAATATAACGAAAACTTTTAACCCACAATTGAATCAACACAGCAGCGATTATACTGACACACGGTGCTACATTTAGTTGATTAAAGGGCCCTATTATGTTGTTCAGGTTCATATTTGTATTATTACAAATATGAACAATAATGTAGGATTACCTGTTTATTGTGCAGCCCTACATCACAGAAACATCTCTGATTAAAGAAACAAATGTGGAGCTGTCTGTGTTGCTTCCTTCTCAGACAGGCCTGTGATTAAGCAGGTGTGTAAATCAAGAGGTTATCGCTGCATGGCACACACCACTATTCCTCACGTGTGCTGCTGAGGTGACCTACTCTGTGAGGCACTGAGATCTGCTTGCTGAGGTGACCTACTCTGTGAGGCACTGAGATCTGCTTGCTGAGGTGTGAACGCGTTGTTCTAGGCTTCGGCACACAGCATCCGAATATACAACACAAATATAAGTTCCACTGAAGATTGGTGAAAAAAAACCATGTGCCTTGCATGACATTTAGCGGCCGCCTCGTTTCGTGTTGTTTTTGAGTCATGAATGTTGAGTTTAGAGAGTTACTAGAGATAGAGTTACTGCAGTGTTGTCTTTTCATGATAACAATGGATCAGGAAGACAATGAGAGAGAATGGATGTTCTTCATCTGTTCCCACCTTTTCACTGTACTTTTCACTCTGGGTAAAAGAAAGGTGACGAGCCATAATTTGCTTCATGACCTATAATCTCACAGTGAATGGATGGTTTACTCAGCAACGTGTTGACCTCAGTAATGTGGTGTGTTAGCGCACGCCTGCAGAGTCATGGCCTGGTTATACGACTGAATTTCAGCCAAAAATGCAGTCATAATTTTCAGCAATATGGCTATGCTTCCTTCATTCATTAAATGGCATCCGATAACCAGGAAGTCACTTCCTTTGAACAGAATATCATGTTTTTCTTTCTGTTTCCTCTAAATGGAAATCAGCTCTCTCCACCAGCAGGATGCAGGGAGACTAAATCTTCTTAGCACAAGCTGGATTGAGCACTGGGCAGATGTCTATATATAGAGGGCTGGTCCCTACACCTGGGTGTATGCATGCAGCGGAAGTGAACAGTAATTAAAGCAAAGCAGATTTACAGGACTTGTAAGCTGGAGATGACCCACCTTGTGTTTTTTGTGGAGATGCGACAGGCTTACCTTTCAGCACAGGGTGATTTTAAATCTAGTCCAGCAGCAAGATAAAAAGGTGTGCTTTGTGATGTGTTGAATATAGGTTAAGAAACAAGCAGTGTGATCCACATGTTTTTATTTCCTAAAATGTATAGCCCAGTCAGTTTGGTGCATTTGGAACTTTTCTCCCTTCTTGTGACTTTTCCCCTCAGTGAGTATTTTTTCAGACGCTGCAGCACAGACTTAATAGTGCGTCACAACCTTGCTCCTTCTTTGTATTGAAAAGCGACAACATCTTCCCCCCTCTACCTTCCTCTATAGCTGCTCAGTCACCATTGCAGCATAGTTGTGACACACTGTCCTGCGCTAGTGGGAAACTGAAATATTTGCCTGTAATGGCTTCTCTCTTTCGTCTGGGGGTGGATCATAAATGACATTTTGCTTTGAGGAATTTGATGTTCTCTTTCCACTTTACTCTGTTGTTTGGGTACAGTGATTACTTTTAAATACCCTCTACATTCCCCTGATAAAGCCTTTAAATGCATTTGATTTTTTTAGATATAAGAAATGATATCCCCTCTCTTGGCCTCAAAGAGCCACTCAGCTCACTGACAGGTGCTCAAAGTATGTCGACCTCCAGCTAATTCTGCTGCTGCTGTGGCTTGAGTGTACTGTTGCATAAGTCATGCTCGGATCTCAGATGCCCTTCAGCTGTTTTTGTTCTGCAGCAGTTACTGTACACAGCTTTAAACATGTTATTCCCATTTTGTCTACTTGCTCAAAGTCTATTTTTTTCTTTCTCCTATTAACATTGTTTTATGTAATAAGTTAACATAGGATGAGATAAACTTTCATTGATCCCCATAGAGACATTTAGAAAATCAATAAAGAATCAGAATCAAGTGTATTGCCAGTTACGTTTACACAAACAAGGAGTTTGCTTTGGGGTCTGGTGGTGCTAACAATAACAGTTTAAGAAAATAGGTTGCAACAGTAGGTCAAAAATATAAAGATAATAAAAAGAAATACTTTTTAATTATTATTACAAAATAATAAAGAGAAGTATTTTCTCACCATTTACATTTAAATATACACAAGAACCTTAAACGCTAAGAAATACTAAAACACATAGGAAAATGAATATATGGCAAACTACAGTGTATTATATATATCAGTGTGCAGAAATGTGCATAATAATGTTTGTGGGGTGGATAGAAAGTCAGTGTCAGTGGGGGGGCCGGGCCGGTAGCAGAGGGGAAGAAGCTGTTCAGGTGGAGAGAGGTTTTGGTCCTCCTGCCAGAGGGGAGGGGGGTGAACAGTCTGTGTCCAGGGTGGGAGGGGTTGGCCTCTATCTTCCCTGCCCGCTTGAATGGTATCAAATAAATATGGAAAAATCCTGAATATTAACTTTGTTATTATATCATTGAAATTCCTGCTTTTCACTTCAGCCCATAAATGTCTCCATTTTTCTTTCTCGTGAGTGCCTGATGGGTATTGCACATTTCCACTCAATAACCGCTTTTAAATAACAAAAAAGTCCTAAGTTATTTGTAATATCTTTATCCCTTTTTAAAGTAAGTGAAACTGTTGTTTTGCCCACATCCGGACGCCAGCCAACTCAATTCCTAATGGAAACGCCTGCTTGGGCCTTATCGATGCGGCAGGCGTTGAAAATCAACAGCTACTCCGATCACTCCATGACTCCCGAGACTCCTATCTTTTTTTCTTCAATCACCTTCAAGATTGGGCATGTGAGTTATAGAGGTGGCAGTATTACTTGCAATCAAGTTGACACAATATATAAACATAACGAAAGAAAACATTTTTGAATAATAGAAAACAGCAGCCTTGAATTACCGGGTGGTGTTGCTTAACTTGTTTAGACTGTTTGCCTTTGTTTACACGCCATACAAATCAACTGAACAGGTTTTTACATGACAGTTAATCAAAGAGTCCGCTGTAAAGTGATTTATTGCAGAAACACCCGATGTTGAGGATTGCGTGTCACTTAAAGAGGCCAGCTCCTGATAGTACTGACTAGATTAGGATGGCGCCAGAGTGAAACCCACACCACAGCACCTTCAGTGTGCACCCTAATAGGAAACCCGGGACTTCCTTTGTAGATACTGAGGTGCAGATGGATGAGACTTTTGACCGCAAGCACACAAACGCGTTATCATTGATCTTGATGGACTTGTTATTGCTTCACAACAATTTTTTGGTTGTTGAGAGGTTTGGAGTATCACTGATGAAAGGAAGTACAGCAGCGGCTGTCTCTCAGCCCTTGATAGGGCTGCTGCATCTCAATAACAGGAAATGTAAGTGTTGTGTTGCTGCTGTTATCGCAGCGGCGCAGTCCCAGAGCCTCTGGTCTATCCTCGGGGGTGGCAGAGGAATTTCAAAAGCACAAAACAATACCCCTCCTACAGTTGTTTCAGGCCTGAAGGGACAGTTGCTTCTGGGACCACTGATGAAGAATGACTTCAGTAGCACTGAGCAGCACTGCCTCACCCTGGAATAACTTGATGCTTAAAAGACAGCTCTTTCCCTCATCCACCAGACATATATGTATGCTGCAGAGAGAGGGTATTAAAACAAGTCAATCAAAAACGTTCTTAGCTTATCCCCCTTTGTAGCTTTGGCCTTGCCCCTGTCCCAGAGAGTTTTCACAGGGGAAAGAACAGGATGTGCCCTGCTAGTGTAATGCCTGCTGCTGGAGAGCGAGTTTAAAAGAGTCTTGTAAAGCAATCATGTGTCATTGCTAAGAAAAACCTTGTAAAACGCACGATCAGAACAGATATTGTTTAGTAATTAGAGAACACAAAATCAAAGGATAAGCGGGACTTAATATATTAAACAGAAATGGGGAAAAAAATGCACAAAAGGGAGTATCATAAAAAGTAGAGGCAGAGGTTGTTAACCACTTATTAAGCTGGCCTCTGGGCAACAAGCATGTTTTTTTATATTCTTTTAATTTGAATGTTTTCCTCTGTGTAATATAATGATATTATGGATCTTCTTTATAATAATGATAATGACGCGTGTATTTATTAAGTGTACCTGTGAATGGTTTCTCCCAATCAAGTCATCTGAAGAACCTCTATAAATGAGCCAGTCTTCAGTCCGAGACAGAGCGGTGAACCTGTACAGAGAGGGGTGAACACCTACATGCTGGCTACTGTTCTCTTGTGGTGTTTTTGAAATAAAGTCACCATGGTTTGCAATTCTACCTCCTCTCGTGGTCGATTCTTTCCCTGGAAATCCAGCCGCAAAAGGGTCGCTGTCTCACACTCTGTTTGTACACTTTCTGTTTTCACCTCAGGTCAAAGAAACGCTTGCGGCTCCGTGTGTACGCCATATACGATCATTTCCTGAAAACGATGACGCCATAGCCCCGCCTCTCCCCAC